AACAGCAGATTTGCAGGAAAGGAACATTTGCAATATCAATAAACCTTAAAGACAGGAAGGCAGGTTAAGTGGTCAGAAATTTAGTGGAGTTAGGAGGAATGGAGCTGGAGGTAGGTCCCATAAACAAAATGAGCTTGGATATGGTTGGTGAGGGAATGTGAATGAAATAGGAAAACAATACAAATTCAAGGCTGGGGCAGGGGAGTATCTTAGAGATAGTTTGGCCCAAACTAGTGTAGTTAGCGTACTAGTGAAAGGATAAAAAATGTGTTAAAGCCTTTGACTTGGAAGCAGTACATTACAGATAAAAATACCTTTCTTTAGAAAGTTCTGTGAAATCTTGAATTATTTTTATGAATATTTATGAAGGACTTGTAATAGATTGCATCAATAATAAGGAGATTGATTGTGATGTTCTTGGATGATAATAAAGACTATTCCTTATGACTTGCTGCCTCTTAACATCGTAGCAGTGTCGACAGGATGGATGCTAATAAAAAGAGGCCATGTGACTGCTGGCACAGAGGAGCCACAGGTGAAGGCACAGATGCAGACACAAAAAGAAAGCAGAGAAAGAGGAAAATACAGAATTTTTATGTGAAGGAGCATATCATAGGTTCATAGAGTCATAGAGATACATAGTACAGAAATAGAACCTTCAGTCCAACTTGTCTGTGCTGACCAGATATCCTAAATTAATCCAGTCACATTTGCCAGCATATGGCCCATATCCTTCTAAACCCTTCCTATTTATATGCCCATCCAGATGCCTTTTAAATGTTGTAATTGTACCAGCCCCCACCACTTTATCTGGCATATCATTGTCAGAAAGAGATTAATTTCTTTGTTGGCTAGAAATGGAACTCTTGACGATAATACACAAATTAGCTGAAAGGTTTTAAGTCTGGTAAGCTGTCTGAATATTTCAGAGGCACTAAAGAAGTGGGTGTTTTCCAAAAACTGGCCTAACATAAAAGAGGGTGTTATTTTTTTAGTCAGTTGAAACACAAGCTACAAACCAGAACTGTCTGGATATGAGGTAGAACAGGTTTATAGGGGTATGCTTTGGTGATGAAAGTCATACTCATGAAATTTGAGGGTGAAAACTGTTGTTACATAGGATTCCTGAACTATCCTGTGTGAATGAAGAACAGCACATTATGGTACTGTGTAGCTGCCACACATGCTGAAGGGAATGTTTATTCTGCATAAGATGTATTTTTGCTGTATTGACTACTTAAAATTAAATTTACCTTTCTATTTGAAGGATTATTTGCTTGTTAATTCATTTTTAATTGGCATTGTTTCATTGTTTCTGATTTATGTTAAAGTAAAAGTTACAAAAAGTCGACCTCATTTATAATTTCTTTATTTAAGAGATAGTTGGTAACTTTGGTTATTTTGATTCATGGTTTCCCCACAAGGATCAGAACAAGTGGAGGAGAGAGCTAATCAGTAGGTCTCAGTTTCAGTGAAAAAGACATCTATGAGCCCCCAGCACATATTGTTTGGAGATGAGGTGTGGAGTAAGCAGGGAAGAGGGGTATAAATGGATAGCTTACAGTAAAGATAAAAAGCCAGGGGTTATCTTTTTATTCCAGTGGAGTAGTTTCTCCAAACTGACAGGTTGAGAAAGGTAAATGCATGATGGAAAGAATTACTGTGTGATCTTGATGATCTGGCAAGAGTTTGATGAATAAAGCTTCACCAATGGTCAATAGGTGATTGGAGACATCTTGATAAGCACTTCAAGTGGCCAGAATGTCAGCTACCTACAGTTGCACTTCCCTACTGCTAGCCTTCAATATGGGGGCAACTTAAGCATTACTACTGTCCGCTCTGTTGAAGGTCCTGGGCAGAGGATTGCACCGCTGCTTGTTTTAATCACAGCTCAAGCTGCAGGAGCAGCAGCACCAGCTGCCTTCTCTTCACCCATATGCCCCTCTAGAGAGGGTGGACATCAAGATCCAGCTGAAAAGAAATAGACGCACAGCGAGGAATCTGGAGGCAGAGAACCAGCCCTCCTGACATGTGTGAGCATCAGTATCTCAGGAGGATCCAACTCTTGAGGTCTCAGTTTATTGCTGGCATCTCCATCCTCTTGAACAAGACTTCCTTACCAACGCACCAAGTGGTCATGCATTACTGACAAGGCCTTTGTTGCAAAAAGTTCACTCCCCCTGCGCTGCCTCCTCCACTCCATACCTCTGTTTCTTATCAGTTTGTGTGCAACTTTGTTTGAGTTGTCATAATGATTGTTGTAGGTCTTATGATTCAGTAGCATCCCTGTCTATGAGACAATAGCTCTAGGTTCAAGTTCCAATCCATTACTTTCTGACCACAGAAGGAGTGTTCAGGATGAGATTCAATGGGTTTAATCAGCTGATCAAGCCTGCCCTGCCACTGAATATGATTGCAGCTGATCAAATACTTAAATGCCTTTTACTCACCTCATCCCCATAACACTGTATGCCATCCGTAATCAAAACTCTACCAGTCACAATTGTAAACACACTCAAAGACTGAACCATCACAGCCCTCTGTGGTAGAGAATTCCAAAGGTTCACAACACATACCTAAATGGCATCCCCTTTATTTTTAAATTGTCCCCCTTGTTCAAGATTCCTCAACAAGGGAAACTTCTACTCTGTCTATCTCTATGTGTATTTTGTAAGTTTCAGAAATTACCTCTCATTCTTTGAAAGTCTGGAGAATAGAGGCACGGTTTGCCTAATCTGTCTTCATATGACATTCCTGCTATCCCGGGAGCAAGCCTGGTGAATATTCTTTTTATTCTCTATAGCAATATTATCCTTGCCACAACAAAGACACCGAAATTGCACACAATATTCCAGGTATGGTCTAATTTACATAATTGATGCAAAACTTCACTATTCCTGTGCTCAAATCCTCTTGTAATAAATTTCATTTGCCTTTCTAATAGCTTGCTGCACCTTCATGTTAATCTGCTGTGACTTGTCGACATGGACACCTAGGTCCTTTTATACATCTACACCTTCCAACTCCTTACCATTGAATAATATGATGCATGGGCTGAAAAGAGCAATAGAATGAGGACCAATGTAAGTGTTGGCTGTTTATATGGCATTCCTGAGAGAGAGGAATGAATTGAGCTCTAAGCTGTGTTGATCTGAGATGAGCTGTGAAGGACACTGTTGGTCACAGTGTGGGTTTGGCATCTGAAATGGTTATGTCACTCTCCTTTCCTGCCACTCTAAGTTCTTAGATTCTCTTAGCGCTCTGTCTCCAGGTTTACGCTCCAGCTGCTCACTTGCTCAGTCACTTCCATCCCTGCTTACTTAGTTGAAGATCTTGTCCTCCTTCTTACTGTGGGATCTTTGCTCTCTTCAGTCCATCAATGGTAAGAATGAGAGACCCAGCGTGGGGAGATCTCCCAGGATTCCTCTCTGTACCTGTGCTTTGCTGCAGCCTCAATAATACAAGGACTGATGGATTTTTTAAAAACATTCTGTGGCCTTTTATACATAAATCCTTCCTGTGACATAGTGGCTGCATTAACCTTCCTGGCTGCCCATTCTAATTGGTCAGGGGCCTGGACAGGGGCTCTCACTGGCTTGGAGCATCTGTAATATTATGAGTAATTCTGGACACTACACTTTAGGAAGGATGTGCTAATCTCAGAGGGACTGCAACATTGGGGTTTACCAGAATTATCAAATAATTTAATTACAAGAAGAAACGGTGCAAACTAGAATCGTACTTAGAAGCTTAAGGGGTGATGTGATCAAACATTTGAGGATATTAGGGTTAACAAATAGCTAGGGAGATGCTATTTCTACTGCTTTAAGAAACTAGGACTAGGCACATGATATAAAGATTGGAGTGAAACCGTTCGGGAGTGAAATGTGTGGAGTCCCTCAGAATGAGATTAAAATTTGCTCATGGCAAGGACCTTCGCATGGAATGCTTTAATTGTGGGGGTGGGGGGAGGGGCTGTGCTGTTGCAATGAAGCCCATTCTGGTTGGTCAGTAAATTTTCTCCTGTTTCCACCTGCCTTAGGCATGATCAGCAGGATTTGCAGATTGTTAATCAATGTGTCTGGCTGTGTTATAACACGCCTTCCATGATAGCCAAGTCCTGAAGTGGATTTGAACCCTGAGATAGGGATGCTACACTGTGCCCCAAAAGCTCCTTACGGAGCGAAATGAGGCAAACGGCTAAACGCAAAGCATGGTCGAACTTTGGAATTCCCTTCTGTAAACAGCAAGTGATGTTAGATACAATAGTTAATTTTAAACTGAGATGGATGGATTTTTGTCAACCAACACTATTAAGGAATGTTAGGTAAAGGACATATAGAATTAAGGCATGGTTCAGTCAAGTTCAGTCAATGGACTGTTCCTGTTCCTTTGTGCATACACAGACAGAAATAGACAACACAGTGTAGGCAGTGGTAGAGAAGAAAACCAGAACCTCAGACTGTTGTTCTGGGCATATTTGTTCGAACCCCACCACAGCAGATGGTGAAATTTGAATTCAATAAAATGTGGAATTAAAACCTAGCCTAATGGCTACCACAGCTGATAATATCTTTCCTGTTGGAAAATGCCATCTGGCTCACGCATGCCCTTTAGGGAAGAAAATCTGCCACCTTTACCTGGTCTGACCTACAGACCAAAGCAGTGTGGTTGACTCTTAACCAATTAGATGCTGGTAATAAGCAATGCCTACAACCCATGAATGAACAAAATAAATGCAAACACACATTAAACATATCTCCACACACAAATTCACACATTCACAAATACACACATACGCACATATAAATACCAAAAACACACACGTAAACGATAAATGTTAAATACTCGGTGAGACTTTCCAACAAATTCCTATTTAAATTCAGTTGACTGATTCCTATGGGTGGAGAATTCTGCGAATCTGTTCTACATTTTATGAGTGCTTCAGACATTACCCCAAAAATATAACCACCTGTGCCCGAGGAAGGAAAAAGCTGATCCCTTGAACACACCAAACTCGTGATGTGTGTGTAGGGGGTTCATTCTATTTCGGACCACTCTCCCACACACAAACAGTGGGTCAAAAATCACGTTGTGCGCAAATGACTTCCAAACTCGTGCAATTTTCCCCGATTACGATAGATCAGGATCTAGGAATATGTTGAACACGCTGTGCAGTCGTGTCATTCTATTGTTGCCTGGGGCGGAGAGATGAATTGTTGGCTGCTCCTGTGGTTTACGGCACTGTCCTGCCTTGGTAAAAGCAGCAGTGATGATACAAGCACCGGGTTCACAGTCTGTCAGAAGGTAGGCATTATAAGCCATCACTCCGTTTGAATTAAATGCATGATATATTTTTTAATAAAATAAAATGTAGTTTAAATTGAAAGGGCACGATTAAGACTGCATATATTTTTCTTTCATTGAAATCAGTCGTTTTTATATACACTTGTATATTTTACTTTTTTATTCGGGGCTATTATTCACTGCAGCCTTTATGAAAGGAATGTAAAGGTGTACGGACGGATTGAAGAATTTTTTTTAGAAAATCAGAACATTTTAATTCATATCTCAGATTGAGAGTGGGAGATGTGATACAGTCACTTTGAACAAAATAGATTAATATATTTGACCGATAGTTTGGACTTTCTTTTCGCTTATTTTGGTTTCTTGGGTCAGGGTAGAAATTTAAGAATTTTCATAGTTCAGAGGTTTGATCTGCGGTTAGACGCCTCCATCAGCGAGAGTCAGTCTGTGCAAGCGGCAGTGTTACTAACAGTTACATAAGGTCAGTTAGAGCGGGTGAACTTGATGGCCTATCTCTTATTATATAGACTCTTGTCATTATGATTTTAAAGTATTGTTATCGTGTTCTTCGTGTGAAAATTTGTGGTGCAGCTTCAAATTAAAAGTGGAGATAGAATTAAATTTGAAATTCTAAGATTTGAATCATACCCGCTATTTTAAAGTAATCAATTTAATATTTTGATCTGTTTGTTTGTCATATTTTCACAGTCTCGCATTGAAGTAATGAGAGGCTTTACAGTCTAATAGACCACTACTCATTCCACAGCCATTAACATCCTTAGAGCAGCAGAATAGCCAATCATATACATGTATAGCAAAGGGACCCCATACCAAATAAGGTGAGCAGAGCCATGCAAATAAATCAAGCCTGAGTGCACTGCGGGATCTCAGGTTTAAGATTCTGAACTCTGGGTTCAACTCACTTGAATTGTCAGGGAGTTTGAGTATTACACTCTGTAACTCAATGGCAGAGATGCTGTCCCTAAACCAAAGGTTCATTTCAAATGAACAGATTTACAACACTATTAAAATCATGGAAGAAGACATTTAATGATTCTAACAATTGTTTGTTAAACTGGATTATCTTATTTGTATCAGTTATGTTATAATAGACTAAAAAGAATTGTCCCCATCATTAAAAATGTAATTATTTTCCACAACATTATAATACCTTTATAGTTTTATAAAAGAGACCTTGGAGTGCAGGTTCATGGTTCCTTGAAAGCGGGGTCCCAGGTAGACAGGATAGTGAAGAAGACGTTTGGTACACTTGCCTTTATTGGTCAGTGCATTGAGTATAGGAGTTGGGAGATCATGTTGCAGCTGTACAATGCATTGGTTAGGCCACTTTTAGAATACTGCATTCAATTCTGGTCTCCCTGCTATAGGAAGGATGTTGTTAAACTTGAAAGGGTTCAGAAAAGATTTATAAGGATATTGCCAGGGTTGGAGGGTTTGAGCTACAGGGAGAGACTGAATAGGCTGGGGCTATTTTTCATGGAGCATCGGAGGCTGAGGGGTGACCTTATAGAGGTTTATGAAATCATGAGGGGCATGGATAGGGTGAATAGCCAAGGTCTTTTCCATGGGGTGGGGGAGGCCAAAACTAGAGGGCATAGATTTATGGTGAGAGGGGAAAGATTTAAAAGGGACCTAAGGGGAAACTTTTTCATGCAGAGGGTGGTGTATGTATGGAATGAGATGCCAAAGGAAGTGGTGGAGGCTGGTACAATTACATTATTTAAAAAGCATCTGGATAGATATATGTATAGGAAGGGTTTAGAGGGATATGGCCCAAATGCTGGCAAATGGGACGAGATTTATATGGAATATCTGGTCAGCATGGACAAGTTGGACTGAAGTGTCTGTTTCCATGCTGTACATCTCTATCACTCAATGACTGTCATTGCAGAAATCACCAATTTGCATTGTTATGATAGATAGAATGATAGAATCCCTACAGTGTGGGAACAGGCCCTTTGGCCCAACGAATCCACACCGACACAGAGAATCCCACCCAGACCCATCCCCCTAAACTACACATCCCCGAACACTATGGGCAATTTAGCATGGCCAATCCACCTACCCTGCACATTTTTAAGGTCCTGGGGAGTGTTGCTGAACAAGGAGACATTGGAGTGCAGGTTCATTGTTACTTGAAAGTGGAGTTGTAGGTAGACAGGATAGTGAAGAATGATTTGGTACGCCAGCCTTTATTGGTCAGTGCATTGAGTATGGGAGTTGGGAGGTCATGTTGCGGCTGTACAGACATTGATTTGCCCGCATCTGAAATTCTGTGTGCAATTCTGGTCTCCCTGCTATAGAAAGATGTTTTGAAACTTGAAAGGATTCAGAAAAGATTTACAAGGATGTTATCAGGGTTGAAGGGGTTGAGCTATAGGGTGGGGCTGAATAAGCTGGGGCTATTTTCCCTGGAGTGTCGGAGGCTGAGGGATGATCTTATACAGGTTTGTAAAATCATGAAGGACTAGATAGAATGAATAACAAAGTCTTTTCCCTGGGTTTGGGGAGTCCAAAACTAGAGGGCATAGGTTTAAGGTGAGAGGAAAAAGATTTAATAGGGATTTAAGGGGCAACTTTTTCATGCAGAGGGTGTGCGTGTATGGACTGAGCTGCCAACGGAATTGTTGGGGGCTGGTACAATTGCAACATTTAAAAGGCATCTGGATGGGTCTATGAATAGGAAGGGTTTAGAGGGATATGGGCCAAATGCTGGCAAATGGGACGAGGTGTATTTAGGATATTGGGTTAGCATGGGCAACTTGGACCGAAGGGTCTGTTTCCATGCTGTACATCTCTATTACACTTTTGGGGAAAAGATGTCAAATCTTCCCCTTTATAACGTATAGAAATATAAGGCATTTACTTACTGCTAGCAATTTGTGAAAATGCTGAAAAATATTAGCTGACTTGTGTATTGTTGTGCAGAATAAACACTGTGGTCTTAAACTGGTATTAAACTGTTTAAACTGCTTGTGAGAGAAAAGGAATATTTATTGCTTTTAATCTTATTTGGCAGAAAGACCATGTTGTGTCCTGTCAATACCAAAACCTTTCCAAAGTGCCTGATCTTCCAATGCTGGAGACTGAAACAATAGATTTATCCCATAATTCAATCAAAGCATTGACAGAAGAATCACTGCTAAATTTCAGTTCACTGCAACACCTCGATGTCTCCTACAATCAACTGAAGACTATAACGTCAGGAGCTCTGGCGCATTTGACTAACCTGAGAATGCTCTTTTTGGCAAACAATCATCTAGGCAGAAGCTTTTCATCCGGTCTTGAAACCTTTAGCCAATTAAAGAAACTCAAAGTGCTAAATCTGTCAGAGAATTTTTGGGACAGTGACACGGTGTCTCAACATCTGAAGAATCTGTCTTCACTGGAAAAAATACATCTGTCAGGGAACCTACTGATGAAGCTGACCCCTGATATGTTCTGTGGGATGCAGCTTTTGAAATATATTTTCCTTGAAAAGAACTATATTACAGAAATAACTGTAGGTTCTTTTGAGTGTTTGGCAAACTTGGTTGAGTTGAACTTGGCCATGAATTCACTTTCTTGCATTTCCAATTTTCATCTTCCTAAGCTCCAAGTCTTGAACCTAAGCAGAAATGGCATTGAATTCTTCATGACAGATGAGAACGAGGACGAACATCATCTTCAAGTGCTTGATCTGAGCCACAACAGGTTGTTTCATTTCCCATTTCTTCCAAAATTACATCAACTAAAACATTTGAATTTGTCGAGTAATTTAATGGCCAGTGTAACACCTGGTCTGCTGAACAACTCCGCTGAATGGGGTGCAAGAAACCGATATAAAGAATTTAGGGTGTTAAATAAGACATCCAAACATAGTGCCCACACAAATTTATCAGAAGTAATATCTTTGGATTTAAGCAACAATGTACTGCTGGATATATCACATGGCTTTCTGAGTAAATTTGATTCTCTCCAACTCTTGAACCTCAGTAGAAATTGTTTTCAGAATTTTAGTATAGAAGATGGTGATGAACTGAATTTCCTGTATTCTCTAGACTTGAGTGGCAATAAACTGGACAATATATCTGTGCTGGGAGATAATCAAAAACTCCTTTCCTTAATGTACCTGTTCCTACAAAATAATTCCATTCAGTTATTGCCCTCTCAGCTTTTTAAAGCCCTGCCTAAAATTGAAAAAATCAATCTTGCTAACAATAATGTAAAAATTTGTAATGTGGCAGACAAAAGCGTAGGATGTGGTGGCCCAATCCACAGGAGCAACAATAATAATAACTGTGTATCTTTTTCTGGACTCCCTACTCTTAAGTACCTCAACCTCAATGGAAATAACATTACACAGCTCGCACCTTACACATTCTATCAGACCCCCCTGGTACACTTGGATGTTTCAAGAAACAAATTTCTAGAAGTGCCAGATCAGGCTTTGACGGGCTTGGAACAATCATTACAATATCTCTCTTTAAGCTGGAATTTGATGCAATACACCAAAGTGACTCTGCCTTGTTTGAGTCACCTTAGAGATTTGGATTTGTCACATAATCAGTTTGAATTTCTCCCTTATGGTGTTGGATGTTCTCCATTGCAAAACCTCGATATTCGGGGCAACAGTTTTTATGCTCTTCAAGACTTAATAACAAGAAACATGTCCCAAACTCTTAAAACACTGTACTTGAGTGGAAATTATTTTAATTGTTGTGCATTGATTTGGCTGGATGTACTGAATAGTGCCAGTGTTGAAATCCCAGATATGGGTGACACCCAATGTTTTTACCCAAACCATAATGATTCTTCAACAGTCCAATTATTAAGTGATCACGAAGGGAAATGTTATACAGAAAGCATCACAAAAGTCAGTCCCCTTGTACTTCTAATATTTGCACTTGCCTTTCTAATAGTTATTGGATCTGTGATAACATTAATTGCTGGAGAGTGCTGTAGGTTGTGCTTGAATACTGGGGATGATGTTTTTGAGGCAGACACTGTTCCAGTGAAAACAAACAGTGAACAGCAGCTGGAAGGGCTGTCTCTAAGTGTCATTAAAATAGAAATGTAAAACAGGAGAATGCATTGCTGAACTGTACCATGGAATAGAAAGACCCCAAAGCTTCAAACCCAACTTCAGCCCTTTGGACTCCTATTGGATAGTTAACTAAATGTCAGCTACAATACCAAGTGAAGCCGAGCTACTGAAACAAAAAGACTTTAATTTTAGGCCGTGCAACCAACCTTTGTTCAGTCTCAAGGCCTAGGCTATTTGATAATAAATAAAGGCTTTCTGATTTTTTTGTTTGGAGATATTTACAATTTGTGGAAATGCATGCCCACCAAATGTATCTTGTGGTGCAGTTCTGAATCACATGCATTGTCAGTGTTGAGTTAACCTATCTCAGCTAAGGTAGCAGATCTGGCTTCCAGGAGCTTGAGACAGGGAATAATTTGGCAGGGATTCTTTCTTTTTAATGGCTAGTCCTGTTGCGCTACTTGAATAGAGGCAAAATATTGCAGTGCTGGAAATCTGAAGCAAAGACCGAGAATGGTGGAGAAACTCAGCAGGTCTGGCAGTAGCTATGGAGAGAGCAATAGTGTTAAAGTTTTGAGTCTGTTATGACTCTTCTTCAGAACTGCTGAGTTTATCCACCATTCTCTGTGCTTGTTCCTGTTGTGCCACTGTCCACTATTCCTGCAATCGAATTGCCCTCCAGTGCTCACTCTCTGTCACAATGGAACAAAGGAACATAGGAGCAGAGATAAGCCAAATAGCTCCTGAGTCTATTCCAGCATTCTGTTATATCAAGGCTGATCTGTTCCACTAACGCAAGTTTACTTAATATCCCATGGTGTCCTTACATTTTAAAAAAATCATCAATCTGAGTTCACCCAAGATTCATAGTCTTGCCAGATTTCCTTTATCTGTTGAATAACAAAGCACTTCTTAATTTTACTCATGAATGGCCTAGGTCTAATATTAAGATAGATAATAAATGGCAGATTGGGGAAGGTACTGGAGAACAATCATATTCAAAAATCCGATCCTATTTGCTGATTAGGAAGCAAAGGAAACATTTGGTGAGGTGGCAGTGGATTATAATTATCGATGGTGCAATAGTTCAGCCACAGTGGAAATGCCAGAACATTTGAACTGTATATTCGTAAAATGTAAGGTCCCTATAATTCTACAGTGTGGTTTAACCTGAGGATCACCACACCTCAGTCAAAGACATTTTGCATATCTTGTCTATGAAAGCAAAACACTATTCATAGCACTACTGAATTAATATTGTGCATTTGATATCATGCGTATAAATAAATGTAAAATAAAAACAATATTATTTAAGAATAGCTATTATTCATTGATCTAAATAAATACGTACAGATTATGACAATTTTTTTCTAATAAGAAATTACTCATTCTGGTGTCATTTCCATAAACAAACTGTTTAAGTAAAACTTGGGTACAAACATTTCTTGTGTTCTGGGAAGATATACATGAATTCTCAAAAGCAGTCCAATCAATTATTGCTATTTTTTTCTTTAAAAATATAATTTAGAATTTATCTTGTATCAGGCAATGTATTGTTTGATTTTAACATTGGAAATTCTATTTTTATTTCAGACTCTCGACATTTATAAATATTTGTTCATATTTATTCAACTTTATTTGATCCATTGAAATAATAAGCAATGTTTTCCTGTTGAATTCTTTTGCAAAATGACATAAAAATGCCTACAGATATGAATGTTTTATCATTTGCTTTATCAATTGCTTAAGTTTCCATAAAGGTCAGGTACTACTTACATACTGCTAAAATCAGATATTTATGTAATAAAAAAAACAAAGAACTGCAGGTGCTGGAGATCAGAATTTGCTGGATAAACTGAGCAGGTCTGGCAGCATCTGTGGAGAGTGGTCCTTCTTCATAATGGCCTTTCGGGTGACTGGATCTGAAACATTAACTCTGCTTTCTCTCCACAGATGCTGCCAGACCAACTGAAATTTTCCAGCAACTTTTGAGTTTATTTACTGTAATAACTGCAGGAATTTCAAAATGGTAATGTTAGTAGAAAAGGGATTCACTGACCTGGGCTAATATATAGTCCTGCAGTGCAAACCATACTAAGGCAGGAAATGTAAATTTAATTGATTAATAAATCAAATGTTATATTATCAGATTGATTTGAAAATGGATCTAGTTCACAAATATCTTTTGAAGCAGGAAATCTGCCACCCTCACCCTGCCTGGGCTACATCGACTCATACAGCCGTAGAGCTGTACAACATGGAAACAGACCCTTTGGTCCAACTCGTCCATGCCGACCAGATATCCTAAATAAATCTAGTCCCATTTGCCAGCATTTGGTCCATATCCCTCTAAACCCTTCCTATTCATTTACTCATCCAGATGCCTTTTAAATGTTGTAATTGTACCAGCCACCACCACTTCCTCTGGCAGCTCATTCCATGCGTGGACCACCCTCTGCATGAAAAAGTTGCCCCTTAAGTCCCTTTTAAATCTTTCCCCTCTCACCGTAAACCTATGCCCTCTAGTTTTGGACCCCCCCACACGGGAAAATGACCTTGTCTATTTACCCTATCCATGCCCCTCATGATTTTATAAACCTCTATAAGGTCACCCCTTAGCCTCAAATGCTGCAGGGAAAACAGCGCCAGCCTATTCAACCTCTGCCTATGGCTCAAACCCTCCAACCCTGGCAACATCATTGTAGATCTTTTCTGAACCAGTTTAAGTTTGACGACATCCTTCCTATAGCAGGGAGAGCAGAACTTTACGCAGTATTCCAGATGTGACCTAACCAATGTCCAGCACAGCCACAATATGAACTCTCAACTTATTTACTCAATGCACTGACCAATAAAGGCAATCATACCAAACGCCTTCTCCACTATCCTGTCTACCTTTGACTCCACTTTCAAGGAACTATGAACCTGCACTCCAAGGTCTCTTTGTTCAGCAACACACCCCAGGACCTTACCATTAAGTGTATACGTCCTGCCCTGATTTGCTTTTCTAAAATGCAGCTCCTCACATTTATCTAAATTAAACTCCATCTGCCACTCCTCGGCCCACTGGCCCATCTGATCAAGATCCCATTATACTCTGAGGTAACCTTCTTCGCTGTCCACTAAACCTCCAATTTTGGTGTCAACTGCAAGCTTACTAACCATACGTCCCATGTTCACATCCAAATCATTTATATTAATTTACATACATGGCCTACAGTCTACAACATGGTATTGATTCTTAATTTGTCAGTGAAATGACCTGGAAAGCTGACTACCTCAAATACTTTCAGAAAGTTTAAATATAACTAAAACTGTATAAATCACTGTGTATCACCTAGACACATGTCCCTACAAGAGCCCAACCTGCCCAGTGACACCTGTAAATGCACAGCTGGGGCCATATGCCGAACTTTGGAAAGCTGTGTCACAGACAGGAAAAGTAACAGTGGGACATAGTTATACTCACCAAAGAATTCATTGCATCCAATGTCCCAAACGTCTCCATATCCCCTCCTGAGTATGTTCTGCCCCACAATCATCGGTTGACTACACAGTGATATAGAATCACTATATGGACATAAGGGTCCTTAACATTGATGCTGGACCTCATACAATCTCATGACATCAACTCAAATATGGACAAGGAAACCTCCTGTTAATTAGTACCACTCTCCCTCAGCTGATAAATCATTATGTCGAGAATCATTTGGAAGGAGGGTACAGCATGCACTCTGAGGGAGGACTTAAGTGTACATTGCCAAGAGTGACTTGGATACAAGGCAGTGGCTCAGTGGTCAGCACTGTCACCTCGCAGCAACAGGGGCCTTGGTATGATTCGAGCCCCCAGCAACTGTCTCTGTGGAGTTTAAACATTCTCCCCGTGTCTGCGTGGGTTTCCTCCAGGTGCTCCAGTTTCCTCCCATAGTCCAAAGATGTGCAGGCTAAGGGGTTGGCCAGGGGAAATGCAGGGTTACAGAGATAGCGTAACGGGTTGGGTCTGGGTTGCCCGCTCTTCGGAGAGTCGGTGTGGACTCAATGGGCTGATTGACCTGCTTCCACACTGAGGTATTCTCATAGAATCCCTACATTGATTGAGCTGGCTGAGTCCTGACTCTAGTATCTGCCAGGCTAGGCCTGTGGCAGGTGATAAGGGAAGTAGCAAGAGAAGAAAATCCTGCTAGATCTTGCCCTCACCATTCTATTAATTGCAAATGTATCTGTCAATTCTAGTATGAGTGACCACTGCACAATCCTTATGTTATTTACAATAAGGATGTTCTCCATCGTGCTGTGTGCTACTTTCTGCATGCTAACCAGGATAGATTCAGAACAGATCTACTAGCTCCAAACTCGGTTACAATATTGCAATGTGGTCTATCAGCAGCCACAGAATTCTAAACAAACATTATCAGTAACCTCCACCTAGAATGTGCCTCACTCTATCGTTACCGTTGATCCAGGGTACCAACTTCACAAAGGCTGGAGAAGAGCAATCCATGGCTAGCAGCAGGAGTACCTAAAAATTAAGTTACAACCTGGTGAAGCTACAATGTAGGACCACATCCATGTTAAACTGCAGAAACAGTATGTTATAAGTGGACCCAACTGATCCCTGAGGTAATGGATCAGAACAAACCTCAGCCATCCTGCCTCATTTAGCCGTGACTGTTGTTGGACAATTAAAAACTAACTACAGAGGGAGTTTCCACAAACATCTCCTGCCTCAATGAAGTGAGAGCTGACATGTCAATGCAAAAGTTAAGGATGACACATCTGCAATCATCTTCAGTCAGAAATGCTGAATGGATGAGCCACCAGGCCCACTCAGCTCCTGACCTCATCTTGCCTTGGCCCAAACATTGACAAAAGAACTGATCTTAAGGAAAAGTGAAGTAGACTGTCCTTGACATCAAGGCAGCATATGACCAAGTGTGGCATTAAGGAGTCCTAGCAAAACTGGAGTCAGTAGCAATCAGAGGGAATGTTCTCTGCTGATTGGAGCCATACCTAGCATAAAAGAAGGTGGTTGTGGCTGTTGGAGGTTAGTCATCTATGCTTCAGGACATTGCTGTAGGAGTTCCTTGGGGTAGTGTTCTCAGGCTAACCCTCCATTATAAGGTCAGATGTGGGGCTGTTTGCTAATGGTTTCACAGTGTTCCATATGATTTGGAACTCCACAGGTGCTGAAGCAGTTCATGTCCCCATGCAGCAAGTCCTGGGTAACATCCAGGTTCAGCCTGATAAGTGTCAAATAACATTGTAATGAAGAATCTGTCTAGCAGATTAAAACCTATTGAAAAACTATGCTCCTTGTTGCCCTCTGAAATTGTATTAGAGGGCCATTGAAGGGCCATTATAGAGGGCCAAAATGTTGAACATTTTGAGTACTGTCTTTCAATTGCTTGTGCACTTGTTTAATGGAAAGGCTTGTGTTACAATGCTAAACCAAATAAAACATCTGAATGTTGATGTTATAAGCTGGTACTTTGAGGCAAATCTGAGCCCAACTTTGTCTTCTCCCAGGAATGGTGGAAATGGATCTCGCTCTAGGAAGCAGGACCTTGGAATCATTTTTACATGAGGCAGTGAGGCCTTATAGTCAAGCTCTGTTGCAGGCTGAGAATCAAAGCCTCCAGCCTGAATGGCTTACATTACATTGATGGCATCTCTACTTCCTAGGGCATCAAGAAGCTATAACAGTTGGAATTCTTAATAGTTTTTAAAGGCCAATATGAACAGTGGAATGCGTTGCCAGAGGAAATGGTAGAAGCGATATGTCAGCAAAGTATTTAAATGCCTCTTAAAGACACATGAACAAGCAGGGAATACAGACCATGCGCAGGCAAAAATGCATTGTTCATACTTGTTAAATTTATTTACTAATTTAAAGTCCTCGCCTTTTTTTTTGCTCACCATATTGCTTTCCTTTTATAAGAAAAAAATGTGGTTAACTACATGGCAGCTTTGATTGTTTCAAGTAATGAGCTAATTTAGGATATTCCCCATCCTCCTTAATTACTGCCATCTAATTTCTTCTTTCATAATAGGATGAAATCACCTAACAGGAACCATTCCTCTTGCTAGACCAAAGTAGTTCATTGAAACTGGCCAATTATCAATTTATGAAGTTAAGAGCAATGACAGACAGGTAAACCACTCAATCTGTCCTGTACTATTACGACACCTGGTCTATTACCAATTATAAACTCTTCACAGAAATGAATGGTGGTGTCTGTAAAGGAGCTGAAATCGCATCATTGCACTCCCCTTCGCTGTCCTGTCACTTGGAGAGATTCCCACTCCTGAATTTTTGACCTTCTGCAAGGGTTGATGGCTGTCCCAACCAGAGGCAAGCTTACCTCTCACCAGAAGGAATTCAATGAGTGACAGCCTGATACAATGGCTGGGAAAGACTGGTATTTGAACCCAGAATCCTATTCACAAGTCCATTGGATGATTCTTGGGAAGGGGGCAGACAAGTAGATTTCTACTTATGCTGTGGACTCCTATCCCCACAGATCCCACCTACTTTTAGAATACCAGTGATGGTGCTTCACTTGACTCTTTGGGGTGTCATGAAAGAGCCTATGTAAATGAAAATATGCGTGTTCCCCTATTCTGTTTCTCGGTTGCACATAAAATTGATTATTAAAATTCATATGTAATGTCATTTAGTGAAAAAGAAAAGTTTAAACATCAACTGATTGCTT